CCTTCCATGCCTTAAAAAAATGTAAAAAAAAAAATTTTTTTCTTTAATCATGCCTCTCGGATACTGTTGTTTAAATTGTGATAGTCGGTAATTATTTTCCCTTTCGTATTTGATAGATTGTTTCAAGTCATGTGGAGGTTATCGTGACCTAGCATCCTCTTACATAACCATTTATTATTTCATAGTTTCCTCATTAGTTTAGATCATAGTCGCCAAATTACGCCTATGTTAAATTTTTATACAGCTGTAACGAATTTCTCCGATTTTAATCTGTTTTAAAATTGATTTTTAGCTATTATGTTTTTATTTTCTTGTTACGTTCTTTCATTAAACTAACATATAAAAAAACATGTAGTCTAGTATTGTGTTTTGATAATTAAATAATTGTACATATTTCGCGTCATGGAGAAATTATTTTTCAAAATTCGCATTTTGAAATACCTGAACTGTCAGAAAGCATCTAATTAAAAAGAAAGAGAAGATCAAATTGACAGTAAACATTGTTTTTGAATTATGCGAGTAGACACTTGCACCTAAGCCAAACACCTCCCCCACCCCCTATTTCTTCAGCTATAAATTGAAAGTCAAGCGTCTGGAGACAATGTGATTTGTGCGTGAGTCTGTTTGTTGTTTTGAACTAGGAGTAGATCTTCCGGTAGTTAGAAAAATCAGAAATACAGGCCTAGATTGTTGACAGTTGCGATTAACAAAACTAATTATAAGCAAGGATAGATAACTCTAATAAGTTTAATTTTAAAGTAAAATGGCAGCCCTTGACAGGAAATGCCACAAGGATTAGTGTAACGAGGATCTGATTAATTCTACCCAGTGGGAAGAAACGGGGGTTGTTCAACAAAGCAAAGCCGTTGTTTGTTAGGGTTAGGGTGTTAAAGTTTAAGTCACTGAGGGTTTAATATATATACTTTTAACAGTGTCCGCCCCCTCCCCCCCCCCCCCGAAGAAAGTCTACCCCCCCCCCCCCCCAAATTTCAAGTGCCCCCCCCCCCCCCGGAGAAAAAAGTCTGGAAGAAACACTGATCTTACGTGTGCTTCATCAAAGTGTTAAGATACAAAAACAGACATTCGGGAATGTAGTAAGATTCTTCCAATGCCGATTTTGTTAACACTTTCAACGTATACACGATTGGTGTCTTTAAATTTATTATTTAAAAAACAAAATTCTTAAAGATAACCAGTATTATTAACTAACTCTAGAGCTTATCTTTCAGCTTCAAATTAATGTGCCTGTGGATACATTTCAACTACGCTGACCCTAAATCTGAATCTAAGACCATCTTTCGATAATTAGACTATCCTCACATATTTAACTAACTTTCTATATTAAGACGATTCACAAATAAAAACCATCTTTCGATATTAAGACGATTCACAAATTGAACCATCTTTCGTTATTTAGACCATCCACACATTACATGACAAGAAATTACTGACTCAAGATGAAAACTGATACTTTTTACTGTGACAGAGTATTTGTAACCTCGAACTTTTTCTTTCTGTCTAGTCTGTCTTCCGTGGCCTTGACACAGTGATAATCATTAGAAAATATTTTTTTACGTCCATACATCAGTCCCGGAAAAGCCTTGAGTTGAATGATCTATTCAAACCAAATTAATCAATTATTTTAATACGCCATTGGGGTCAAATAATTAGTTAAAATAGGCGAAATACATTAATGAATTCATATTAGGGTTGTCTAAACATGTTTATTTCAATATGCTTGATTAATGATGATTGAATCAAATTATTGTTGTTTCTTTGTTTAGTTTTCTCTCTTTGTTATCTTTTCTCTCGTGTGTTATATCTATGTTGTGTGTTCTCTCTTTGTTATATGCTTTCTCTGTGTTGTGTGTTATCTTTGTTGTGTTTCTTTTTGTTGTGTGTTCTCTTTGTTGTGCGTGCTCTCTTTCTTTTTTTCTCTTTGTTGTCTTTGTTGTCTGTTCCCTTTGTTGTGTGTTCTCTTTGTAGTATGTTGTTTTTTGTTTCTGTTCTCTTTGTTGTCTGTTCCCTTTGTTGTGTGTTCCCTTTGTTGTCTCTTTGTTGTGTGTTCACTTTGTTGTGTGTTCACTTTGTTGTGTGTTCTCTCTGTTGTGTGCTCTCCTTTGTTGTGTTCTCTTTGTTGTGTGTTCTATTTGTTGTGTGTTCTCTCTGTTGTGTGTTCTATTTGTTGAATGATCGGGCCACACATACATGTAGGCGCCCAAACCGTGGGAAGCGCTCTGTCATCTTAGACCTATTTCAAGCACCGCCAGAGGCGCTTCTTGTAATTCTTGCCACGTTGCATCGTGTTAGCCGGTAAACAAACGAATAGAATTTATTTACACTCTTTAGAATAAAACAAGAATTCACACGTGAAAAAAAGAATAACAATCTAGTTAACGTACAAATTAGGCTCGAAAAATTGAAATGATTGACATGGGAACACAAATAAACGTAAAAAACCGAACATTGTATTCGATACATATCTATCTTTATCTTCAAGTCTGAAAACAGAATTGTTTTATCACTCCAAGAATGTATTAAATATCTGAAAGTTCTATTTGTTTTTACACTGTCGAGTTTATAATTTTCCCATTAGAATGCACTAGAATGGGGAAATAAACATCCTAAATCACATTTAGAGGGTTCTAGTGTTTTTTGTGGTGCCTAGTATGCACGGCTGGTCACTGTAAACTTCTTGATTTTCTTTACAATATTATGTACACGCAATTAAATCCTAATTAGTGTCACTATATTATTATTCACCGTGTGGCTGTCAACATACTATTGTCACCATATGCCTGTGACCATATGCCTGTGACGACATGACTGTGACCATATGACTGTCACCTTATGACTGTCACCATATGACCAGTACCATATAAATGTGACAATATGACTATCACAATGTGACTGTGCCCATGACTGTCTTCATATGTTTGTACTCACGCAACTCTCCAACACGACTGTTATAAAATGGCATTGTAAGAAATCCGCACAAATCTACCGCCCCCCCCCCCACCACCCACCCCCCACCCCCACCCCACCCCCCCCCCCCGAACGAAATGGAATTTATATAGAAATCATATACTTTTACATGTGTTGCCCCCCCTCCCCAGGAAAATGTTGACCGCCCCTCCCCCCCCCCCCCCCCCCCGCGAAATTATCAAGTGTCGTTGTTCCCCCCCCCCCCCCCCCGGAGAAAAAAGTCTGGAAGAAACACGGGAAGTACATCAACTATCGTTTATACTAAACGCAATTTATATGGATTAAACCATGTTTTTGTCGGATTATCTTCCAGTATAATCCTACTATTTAGCATAATTATAATCTAAACAAAAATAAACAATCAATGTTCTGGTGTTTAATTCAGCAGCAACGGATCACTGTAACGAGGCTATTTGTGTACATTTACTTACATCAAGGTTCATTTAATTGACACCGGGACTGACACTTGCGTGCTAGGGTGTGATTTCTTTCATCTCTGGGGTATTTCTTCTCTCAAGGTGATTGACTCGTCTCTTCATTGCTGACCGCTACCTGGATTGTGCTGTGTATCTGTTTTATGTGAGGGAGGGGAATTTTGTAGTACATGCATTCATTGTATGACAGGGAATGTTGTAAAAAAAATATTTTTTGTTGCGTAACTTTAAATCGGTAGATCTACCCAGCTACAACCCCCTATTTACTCCTCAAGTTACCTACCTCCCCAACTAGCCCACCTCCCAAAGTTACCAACCTCCCCTTCTCCCCAAGTTACCCACCTTCCCGAGTTACCCACCTCCCCAAGTTACCCACCTCCCCAAGTTACCCACCTCCCCAGTTCCCCAACTTACCCACCTCCCCAAGTTACCCACCTTCCCAAGTTACCCACCTCCCCAAGTTACCCACCTCCCCAAGTTACCCACCTTCCCCAAGTTACCCACCTCCCCAAATTACCCACCTTCCCAAGTTTCCCACCTCCCCAAGTTACCCACCTCCCCAAGTTACCCACCTCCCCACCTTCCCCAAGTTACCCACGTCCCCAAATTACCCACCTCCCAAACTTACCCACACTCCCAAAGTTACCCACCTCCCCAAGTTACCCACCTTCCCAAGTTACCCACCTCCCCAAGTTACCCACCTCCCCACCTCCCCAAGTTACCCACCTCCCCAAGTTAACCACCTCCCCAAGTTACCCACCTCCCCACCTCCCCAAGTTACCCACCTCCCCACCTCCCCAAGTTACCCACCTCCCCAAGTTACACACCCCAACTTACCCACCTCCCCAAGTTACCCACCTCCCCAAGTTACGCACCTCCCCAAGTGACCCACCTCCCCAAGTGACCCACCTCCCAAGTTACCCACCTCCCTAAGTTACCCACCTCCCCAAGTTACCCACCTCCCCAAGTTACCCACCTCCCCACCTCCCTAAGTTACCCACCTCTCCAAGTGACCCACCTCCCCAAGTGACCCACCTCCCCAAGTTACCCACCTCCCCAACTTACCCACCTCCCCAAGTTACCCACCTCCCCAAGTTACCCACCTCCCCAAGTGACCCACCTCCCCAAGTGACCCACCTCCCTAAGTTACCCACCTCCCCAAGTTACCCACCTCCCCAAGTTACCCTCCTCACCAAATCTCAACTGCTCTCTCTACTTTCAGATAATGATCGCCTCGTTACCCACCTCCCCAAGTTACCCACCTCCCCAAGTTACCCACCTCCCCAAGTTACCCACCTCCCCAAGTTACCCACCTCCCCAAATCTCAAACGTTCTCTCTACTTTCAGATAATGATCGCCTCGTTACCCACCTCCCCAAGTTACCCACCTCCCCAAGTTACCCACCTCCCCAAGTTACCCACCTTCCCACCTCCCCAAATCACTAATGTTCTCTTTACTTTCAGATAATGATCGCCTCGTTACCCACCTCCCCAAGTTACCCACCTCCCCAAGTTACCCACCTCCCCAAGTTACCCACCTCCCCAAGTTACCCACCTCCCCAACTGTTTTCTCTACTTTCAGATAATGATCGCCTCGTTACCCACCTTCACAAGTCTCTCAGTGACAGCACAGTCTGAGTCCTACAGGTCACAGATATTCAAAGCGATACTTCGAGACCGTCGGTGAGTGGGTTTTTCGACATTCGCGAGTTCTGTCATCCTACCTCCGCTACTGCACAAACCTATGTCTCTTGTCATTCATTGTTAAGTACTCGGGAGTTCTGACCTCTACCCTATGCTTGTTGTCCATGTATTTCTGACCTCTACCCTATGCTTAATGTCCATGAGTTCTTTCCTTTAATCTAGAACTGTTGACCTTTTGTTCTTGCGGTCATCCCGCTTCGTTTTTTCAGCATTTGTTGGTTGAAGGATTATGTCTGATTTCTTCCGTTTTAGTACCGTTATATGTATCGTCTATGTACCGTAATATATCTCTCATACTACGCACATTCTCATGATTCAGCACCCTCAACTTATTTTCATGTTTTATACAAGTACAATAAAATATTCAAAACGCTACATTATAAGCAAAATATAATTTTGGGCAAACTCACTTTTAAGACCTAAATATAAAAGGCAAGCACTGCATAGTCTAAGACAAAATTTAAGACTAGTTTTATATTTAAGACCAACACAGTTGATTCAATAAGAAGTACACGAGGGAGGTAATCCTAAAAGAGCAGACAACTTGTGTGACTTTAAAAATAACTCTGTGTGTTGTTTGAGAGATCAATTTTCTTGTCCTGCTTAAATGGCGTCCTGACAGTGGTAAACGGGGGCTAATGCTGAGATACATTGGGGGGACTGTTCGACCAATGTTAACTTGACTTCCGTGTTATGTTAACTTCACTTTCATGTAATGTTGACTTTCGACTAGCAGTAACTTAACTTACGTGTCATTTTGACTCTTATGTTAACAAAAACCCCATTAAATGTTACACTGTTTGTGTAATGTTAACTTGACTTCCATGTAATATTGATTTTTCATGTTAACTTTACTTCCATGTAATGTTGACTTTTCATGTAATGTTACCTTGACCGTGTAGTACTGACCCTCCATATAATTTTAACATTGAGTTTGAAGCGGTGAATTGTTTACATTTTATTGTAAAGTCAAACAACCAGATCCAGATAATTGTTCACAGCTCTGGTAACTTGAACTCTATCAGTTATCTGGTGTAAACTTTTTGAATCAGTCCGTAATTTGATGAGAATGTGAGGGTTTTTTTAAACATAGAGTCTATCGCTTCTACTGCACACAACGTACACTGGTGCTGGTTGCTGAGCAGTCACCACTCGGTTGCTTGAAATATTGCTCTAGAAAATTCCGGTTGTGATATTATTTGTAGCTCTTAACTGCTAGTTTTGAGGTGAAGTTTTAGCTTAACCCTAACGGAACCGTATAGCGTCTGAGTACTCCACATTTATAATTAGAGATTATGCATGTGATATCAACTTAATGCGAGACTCAACACTTATAATTAGAGATTATGCATTTGATATCAACTTAATGCGAGACTCAACACTTATAATTAGAGATTATGTATTTGATATCAACTTAATGCGAGACTCAACACTTATAATTAGAGATTATGCATTTGATATCAACTTAATGCGAGACTCAACACTTATAATTAGAGGTCATGCATGTGATATCAACTATGCAAGACTCCACACTTATTATTAGAGTTTCTTTGTGCGATATCAACCTAGTGCAAGATAACTTCTCTAACTTTTTGTTCATTGATAAAAAAAATGGAGTAGAGCTGGAAAACGATTTTTTTAGCTGAGATGTCACTGTATTGACATTAGATTGATGTTTGTGATTGTGACACTACATCTACATATTTACATTACCGTGCCATGGGTTACTTTGTTAAAGTGGTGTACTATTTCACAATTTAAACCACGCCATGTGTAGAAACAGTATTTCAAACAGTGTTTCTTCCAGACATTTTTCTCCGGGGGGGGGGCACTTGAAATTTTCGGGGGGGGCGGTAAACTTTCTTGGGGGGGTGGGCGGGGGCGGACACTGTTAAAAGTATATATTTTCTATATAAATTATATAAATTTCATTTCGTTCGGGGGGGGGGGGGGGGGGGGGCGGTAAAAATTTTTCGGGCCCCCCCCCCCCCCCCCCTAAGAGATGCCTGGAAGAAACTCTGATTTCAAAGGGTACCACAGAAACATCTCCAGTTTAAAGCAAGTCAGCTTTTTGATGAACTAAAATCTGAACTAACTCAAGTGTCAGACAATAACGTGCGATTGATGAGAATGGCAAAGGTTGCGATTGGCAAATACTTGGGTGACCTCTTGGACATAGGTAATCCCCGATTCTCTAACGGAAATGTAAACCGTGACGTCATCGACTGAAGAAAAAAAAAGTGCATCCGTTTGGCAGCGTGGGCGACAACCAGGAAATACCTCGGTATTGAAGTTTATCTGGCCAATTGAAGGGGGGTTTGGCGGTCACGTGAGGTCCGCCATCGGAAAAGTGAAAAGTCCGGCCCGGATAAAGACGCGGTGGTGGAGAAGATTAGCACATAAGCAACGTGACGGAAAACGGATTTTATCTACTTCCGTTCGCGTCACAAGTCTTCGTGTTAATTAACTAGTACTAATTAAAAGTTTCGCAACGTGTTGTTTTTTTTAACGAAGATTTTAGGGGTTGTCCATAAATGACGTCACACTCATAGGGGGAGGGAGGTCTGTAATTTTGTGAAGGTGTGTGATGAGGGGGAAGGGGGGGGGGGGGGTCAGATGGTGTGACGTCACACTTTGGCATTATATGAAAGCTATGTTAAAAAATGAGTTTTACCCGTTATTTCGCGTTTTTGAAAACGGTTTTAATAAATTGTAATAGGAATTGATTAAAATACACTATGTTCAGACAAGATTTTGGAAAAATATCGGTTTTAAGAAAAATTCAACTGCAATTTTCAATTTTGAGGTGGGTTGTAGGCTGAGGTGTGACATCATTTAAGGGGGGGGGTCTGGCTTTTTGTGACGATGTGTGACGGAGGGGAGGGGGGAGGTAAAAACCATCCAAAAAGCGTGAAGTCATTTATGGATGACCCCTTAACTAACAGTAACTTCATAATTTCTTTTTCTATAATGATTTAAAATAATAATTTATAATAAGCGAAAATCATATAGAAAATGTATGTCGTGAAAAGACAACATACACACACTGCACATACACACAATGGCATAGACATGAATTAGTCATGTGCGAGAGAGGGGGAGGGTTCAATTCCTTTTTTTTTCGAAATATATATATATATATATATATATATATATATATATATATATATATATATATATATATATATATATATATATATACATAGGCTTTATATGTATACATATAGGCCTATATATATATTTATATATACATACACACACATATATATATATATATATATATATATATATATATATATATATATATATATATATATATAATGTAATTAAAAAAATTGTTTTCACTTTTTGTATTTTTATTTTTTATTTTTTAAGCAACCGATTTATAACGGTAGAATTACTATTATACCGCCATGTTTATGGACTAAATTTTTTATTTCTGAAGCAACTATTTCGGTACAGACAATCTCTAAACATGATCGAAATAAAATCAGCGAACAAGTGGACGGTCTGTCCCGACTTCTATGAATAAATTACCCACAATGCGCAACCAGCACTGAACTCTGGGACCAAGTAGTGCCTGTTATTTCTCACACAGTTTTTGTTGGTACGGGGCGATAGAATGGTCGATAGTCACACCATTGGATGTTGTTTTATTTTTTTTAATGTTGTTATTGTTGTTTGTTTGTTTGTTTTTTTTTTTTCCCTTTTTTTTTGATAAAGTTAAACACACTTTGACGCCAAAGTCTCAGAAACAAATTTTTATAATTTTTTAAAATAAAACAACATATTTTGGGGACGAAAGAAGTTTTTAGAGTAAGCTATATATATATATATATATATATATATATATATATATATATATATATATATATATATATATATATATATATATATATATATATATATATAGATAGATAGATAGATAGATATACGAACCGACCCGCGGCATATCATACGCCGCTATTTAGTTGTTTTATTTTCTACTTTTCAGTAATTCATAATTTGTGAATTTGACAGTACCAATGCTGCCACTGAAAATATTTGCTTTAAAACACTATCAGTAGGTGGTTAAGAACGATAATACACAACCGCATATGCATTACATGTACATATGTTCCACACTATTACACACACATTGTTTGCTGTTCACTTGATGTGCAATATTTTCGTCTAAATTCTATTCTATTTTAAATAGTTTAAAGTGTTTAAAAATTGATTAAAATACATGTCTATATCCCGAGTTGCCATCCCCCGCAGTGTTATATAAGAAAATTCGAGAAAGTTTAGGGGAGAACACTCTCGCTTTATTTACAAAGCGTTCCACTACGACGAACAGACTGACAGAAAGAGCAAAACTATCATGTAGAATAAATCATCCAACATTAATCACAAAGCACACCGTACTGACTCAATCACATCAACCATTCCACAAGCTTACATTCAAATCGTGAAACACCTTCATACTGACACAATCACAAATCATTAATTAAGCACTACCTTAAAAACAACATCACGTAAATCAAGTATCGTTGAAGACCCCTCCAGCCGCACGATGAAATTAATTATTTCTAAACCAGTGTATACGACTTAATACTAGAGGATGATAATTTTCCACCACCAAACATTCGGGAATATCAAGATCAGCTGACGAGAACGGAGATTTCCACCATGCTAAATTTACACTTGTTTTTCGTTACACAAATTGAATCCTTTTTATTTGAATCAAATATATATAAATATTTTTTTCTGTAAAATAAAAAACCGATTAAAAATTGGGTACCGAAATATGTTTTTAAATACCATATAAAAATCATTTGTTAGATTATATCATTTGGCTATGGTCAAAGTATGGTGATAGAATTTATATTATCATCATCTATTTTTCCGTTTGTGCCCAAGACCCACGGGGCAGGTGAAGTAGAGCTCATCTGTTTCAAATTAGCTCGGCATACAATGGGATAATATTGTCATCACTA